CTCTGTTCCTATGCAGATCCCTCCTCATGCCTGCCTATGCCATTAACTGCAATTCTAAATCTGAATAGGTGCTGTCCTTGCATGGTGTTCATTTTTCAATAGTTGCGCTGCGATTATCTGCATCACATTTTGTGGTTCTGCAGCATTTATTGAGCACTATATTAAGCTGGTATAAACTCAGATAAAATGCCAGACCAATGATAAACTAGTGACATTTCTGAGTTTCTCTGTAGCAAATGTCTACAAAGGTTGCATTTGGCTGATTGTATTTCAGAAGGCTGACGTTGCACTGCCGATATCACTGGTGTAATTTATCATGGTGTGATTTACTTTTATTCATATTCTTGTCTTTGGTCATCCTCAGGTTTTTTTCTAAAATAGCTCCTAAATGTGAAAACCAACATAAGATACTGGAAGCATAGGAGGAGGCTGCATCAGGCTTTGTCTTGTTTCCATCTACAGAGCTGATCTAGCATTACCTGTGCACCTGCACCTCATACTTTCCCTCAGTAGGGAGGCCCACACGTAGATGGAGACTGAAGGTCTTCTTTTCATCTGTTTATAAATTTATATGCTTAACTTTCTTTAGTACCATTCCATGGATTTTAGGATCAAATACAAAACCTCAGCATTATGCAAAAGGTGCTTCATGATTAGACTTCTGCTAACTTTTCATTTTTTTTTACTGCTCTACTTTGAAAACGCTGGATCCATCCTGCTGACTTACTATAGATGCCTATATGGATCATCGTCTCTTTGATCTAGGGCCTTCATTTTTGCTATTTATCTCTAAATGGAGTGTTCTTCCACCTCTTCAGTCCATCAATCATATTTCTGCATATTGTTGAAGATTCAATTCATTTACTCTGAGGGATTTCTGGATTGTCCTTCTCTCCCAGGCCTCTGTCTGCAGGTGAAGGATCATTCTTCCTATGTCTTCAAATAGCACCTTGAATATTAGAACCGTTGTTTCAGTGGATTACTGTCTCTTCTGTAATTCTAAAGCTTTTAAGGGGAAGAAATCTATAGCCCTTGGTTCTTATTGCATGATAGGGGCTTGGGATGTTTTAATGGATAAATAAATGAATAAGTGAATTTTATTTATTCATATAGTTGATCTCTGGGCTATTAACTCTTATTTTTTATGTATTGACTTACCATGATAAATAATTTTGATCAATTAATTCTGTGGTTGAGGTATTCATGATATCCCAAGAAGTTTTTAATACCAACATTAATTTTAATTTCTTAGGTAGTATTAATATTTCCTACCCATCTCTTGAAGTAAGAAGGGGGAGGAAGAGAAGGAAGAAATAAGTTGCATTTTCTGAGTCCTTGCTATGTGATAGGAATCTTCTAGGTACTTTAAGAAGCATATTCTAGGAAACTTATTATAGCCTCTTCTTTATAGATTTAAAAAATTAAACATAGGTATGTTAAGTAATTTACCAAATGTCACATCTACAGATCAATTAATAAATGCTGATGTGCCTGGTTTGTGCACTTCTCCTTCCTCCAAAACAATTCAGTAAACATTTTTTGAGTATCTATGTGTGACATGCAGGTGCCTGGAACAAAGATACAGAAAGGTTTGAGTTTGTCTGTCAATAAGACAGATTGATAAATGCATCACCCAATTACAACATGGCCTAATTTTGCTGTGCAGAAGTATGTGCATCCTTCTGGAAATCTCAGAAAGGATAACCAACTTGGCTTAAGTGGCTCCCCCACTGAGAAGCCTGTTTTCACCTTCAACCATCTGCAGCTGAGCCATGGGGTAAAAGTTATGAAGGCAGAAGGGTGAGAGGAAATTCCAGGCAGACACCAGCATATGCACAGGCATGAAGACTCTCCCTTTCCCTCCCACAAAATT